TCTCTTTTCATTTTCTTCCTTTTCAGTTCACAGAGGCCCCATGTTTTGGGAAGCTTCCCAAATCGGTTTTCCTGCTTCGCTGAATGGTTTTTGGACGGTTGTTGTTTAGGTTTCTTTTCTTGTTCCTTTTCCTTCTTTTTTATTCTTACTTTTTATTCTTTTATTTTTTTCCTTAAATGCGTGAACTATTTGCAAATTCAAGAACATTTGTTTATAAAAATAGATCTTTTTTAAAAAAAAGTAAGCTTTTTATAAATATCAATGAACTTTTCCAAAATTCATGAACGTTTTTTCAAATCCGTCAACATTTTAAAAAGTCAATGATCTTCGAAATTCGTAACTTTTCTTCAAAAACGATGAACTTGTTCCAGAGTCGTGAACTCTTTAACAGAATCGATGAACTTCTTTCAATTTCGTGAACGTTGTTTCAAAATTGATGAACGTTTTTCAAAATCGATGGATTTTATTAAAATTTGTGAACTTTTCTTCAAAATCGATGATTTTTTTGTCAAAAATGTGAAATTTTTGTCAAATTGATAAACCTTTTTTTCAAAACTGATAATTGTTTTCCAAATATCTATGAACATGGTTAAACGGTCAATGGAACGACCGAATTAGAGATTTTTTTTGTAGCAGACCCGATCGAGCGAGCGATCCAGCTGTTGAGCGATCAAGTGTAGCGAGCTCTCATGCTAATGAGCCGGCCGAAAGAGAACATGCACGTAAGTGCTTGAAGCGCTGGTTAAGAGCTGCCTCCTATTTGTGGCCTCGTAGCGTTAAATAGGATATGCTCCACCCTAGGATAGCCAGGAAAAATGGGCCGGCACACTTTTCATGAGTTTATTTATTTATTCATTTGTTCTTTTTGTCTTTTAGTCGTTTCTATGAAAAAATCGGTTGTACTTTTTAGGGTGCTAGATATTTAAAAACATTTTAATACTAAAAATATTTCTAAAATTTTGTTTAATATTTATAGCTGTGGGCCCCAGCAGGTGTGTAGCCAAAAAGAATATCATGATAAAGGCAGACAATATTATAATGAATTTCTCACATGATGTCCATCTATAAATATTTATACTCCATATCAATGCATTTACTATTTTTTTACTAGAGCTCATTTATTAGTTGATTTTTGTATAAATTTCTACTATCAAAGATTACTTTATCTTTCCTCTCATAAAGAAGATACATTAATTTGGGAATTCTAAGCTCAATGAAAGTAGGGGTACCCTTATTTTTTGATTTGATGCATTTATTCTACATTTAATAACTACATCACTATTTGATTCGCAAGTACTATTACACATTTGATATGCGCTTACCTTTAGCAAAAAGAACAAATAGACCATCATTAAGGCATATCATATCAGTATGATTAATGATTTCCTCACATGTGCCGTGTATATATAGATATGTAGAGTCGCCATGTATTACATCAACACAGCAACGCCTAGGTTCATACAAAGTGTAAACTACAATGGCAAGCGTTGCAACATCCTTAGCTATGGTTTTCATTGTAGTTGTCGCCATGTCCTATGGCCTCCGCGCCACCCACGCCGACATCAACTTCATTGCTCGCACATGCAAGAAGACCAATAACTTTGCATTGTGCATGGCCGTGCTAAGGGCCAACCCAAAGAGCGCCCAAGCATCCACCGAGCATGACCTTGCCAGCATTGCTCTGCAAATCGCCACCAACACCACCCGGAAGAACGCCGCGGCCATCTGTGACCTAGATTATAAACACCAGGGCACACCCGAGGCACCAGTGTGGCATGTATGTGTCAAGGCACATGTCCTTGCTGCAGCCGACCTCATCGCCGACGCTGGCCCCAGCTTCCACGTTGGGGACTATGCTGATGTGTTGAAGATTGTGTCTGAGGGGAAGGGCGCAGGAGATACATGCGAGAACGCATTCAAGGCGATCCACAAAACGCCTCCCTTGGCTGACATGGACCGTCAGACGACGGAGCATTGCGGTCTCGCCGGCGACCTCATCCGCCTGCTCCTCACCAAATGATCTATAATAGATCATTTCTCGGCTTGTCTGTTCCTCTCAGTAATAAATTTTTTTTGCTTGTCGAGAAAAAAAAGAGAATAATGTAAAGTGTTCCTACAATATTTTTCTATAGACATTTAACATTTTCTAATGCATGATTAACATTTTTTAAATATAAAGTGTTTCTGTAATATATATATATTTAGAATGTTTATAAGTATAAACAAAAAAATGTGAAAGAAAACAAAAATAGCGAGCGCTTTGAGGCCTGTGGCCTCCCGCGGCGGGTCCAGTCTCGTGCTCCTCAGGCGATACTAGCTTCTGTATCGCACGAAGCGAGACATAGCTTCGCCCTAGGGCATACAAGACATATCACCGTTTGGTACCACATCGCCCAGGGAGGAGGCCCAGAAGCAAATCATAACTTAGCCTGGGGCCTATGTGCTCTGTTTGCATCGCAGTAGGCTTTTCTTTCCTAGCAAGCTGTTGAACAATTTCAGGAAAAAAAAAACCTGAATTTTCCCAGATCATCAATGCCATGATGAAAACACATTCGTTGAAAAACTAAGAAAAGTTCGTTGACAAAAATTCAGAATTTTTTGTATTTTACTGTTCATACCAACTGGGATTAGACGACAGTTTCGGTCTCAACATGATAGGGTTGTTCCTTTCTATGTTCTTAATTGTACATAATTGTTCTTCTTGACCAACTTATAAATCATTGTTGAATGATAAAATTTAGGTGGTGGGATTGCCATGTCCAGATACACTTCGTATCAACTTTCATTAGTAAAGGTAAATATATTTGTAGTTGGTACTTCATTAGTTGACTGTCTCCATTTATTACTCCCTCCGTTCCCAAATACTTGTCTTTCTAGGCATTTCAAATGGACTCAACATACGGATATACATAGACATATTTTAAAGTGTAGATTCACTCATTTTGCGCCGTATGTAGTCACTTGTTAAAATCTCTAGAAAGACAAGTATTTATGAACGGAGGGAGTACATTCTTGGAACAAAATTCCGACTCATGGAAAGCATAATGAGAGTACATTTATTTCTTGATTTGCAAAACAATCTGTACATGTATTCACTGATGAATTCAAGAGACTTAGAGTACTCACTCGATCCTTCATTTACTTATTTGATTTCTTATTACACTCCATATAGCAAAAGGAATAAATATATTGTGGTTAAGGCAGATCATATCATAAGGATTTTCTCGCATGCCGTCCATATTATAAAAGTATATACTCCATGCCACTACATAAGAATGTTTTTGCTAGAGCACATTTATTAGTTGATTTTAGTATAATTTTTTCTATCAACATGCATTTTTCCTCTCATGAAGAAGGTAAATTAATTTACACTTATTTGCCAATTAGATGCATTGGACATTTAATAACTGGATCACTACTACTATTTGATTTGCTAGTAGTACCACTCATTTAACATACAATTACGGTTAGCAAAAAGAATAAATAGACCATCATTAAGGCGGATCATATCATAAGGATTTTTCCCCATAGCGCGTGTATATATAGATATGTAGAGTCCCCATGTATGACACCAATACATCAACGCCTAGGTATATACAAAGTGCAAAGTGCTAGCGAGTGCTGCAACATCCTTAGCTATGGTCCTCGTCGTACTCGCCACCTTGTCCTATGGCCTCCCCGCCGCCCGCAGCGACATCGACTTCATCGCCCGCACATGCAAGAAGACCACTAACCCCGCGTTGTGTGTGGCTGTGCTAAGCGCCGACCCAAAGAGCAGCCACGCGTCCACCGAGCATGACCTCGCCAGCGTCGCCCTGCAAATCGCCACCAGCACCGCCAAGAAGAACGCTGCAGTCATCTGTGACCTAGGCGGTAAGCACCAGGGCAAACCCGAGGGGCCCGCGTGGGATGTATGTGTCAAGGCACATGTCATTGCGGCAACCGAACTCATGGTTGATGCCCGCCCCAGCTTCAACGGTGGGCAATATGCCGAGACACTCATCTCCGGTGGCCGACATGGATCGCGAGACGACGGAGCGGTGCGGCGTTGCGGGCGACCTCATCGGCCTGCTCATCACCAAGTGACCAATAATAAATCATTTCTCGCCTTGTCTGTTTCTTCTTCTTAATAATAGATCATGTTTTGCATGGGCAGAAGAAAATGCTGGCTTTTTTTTTGAGAATAAAAAAATATGCTGGGCCAGTCTAGAAGGCAAGCCCACCTTATATCTGGTAGAGTCCAAGCCCAGAACGGCATTCCGTTATCCTCTAACGGCACGGCATTTATGGTCTCTCTCTCTCTCTCCTAGTCATTCTTCTCCGATCGCTGCCGTCCCCGTCTCTCCCTCTCTCCGACCAAATCCGCCCGCCGCCGGCGAGCACTAGCGTGGCTAGCACACGGCGGAGCAGGAGCGAAGCCGGCCCAACACGACCATGGCGCCGCCCCCGAGCACCAGCGCCCCCGACGGCGGCCTGGATCCCAGGGACGTGTGCGTCGTCGGCGTCGCCCGCACGCCCATCGGCGCGCTGCTCGGCTCCCTCTCCTCCCTCCCGGCCACCAGGCTCGGCTCCGTCGCCATCCAGGGTAACCAAATTTCTCTTCTTTCTCACTCCCCCGCCAGTAGTAATCAAGCAGTCGCTCAAATCGCCTCGCGGTGGCCGGATCCGAGCCGTCGGCCGGTCAGCCATCCTCCGACGTCTTACATCCGATTGATTGATCAGGCGCTCTCCGGCGAGCCAGCGTCGACCCGGCGCTGGTGCAGGAGGTGTTCATGGGCAACGTCCTCAGCGCCAACCTCGGCCAGGCCCCCGCCAGGCAGGCCGCCCTCGGCGCCGGCCTGCCCAACACCGTCCCCTGCACCACCATCAACAAAGTCTGCTCCTCGGGGATGAAGGGTATCCAAAATTCATCCCCTCACCTACAAAGTTGCTTGTCAGTTGTCACTGCTGCTCATAAACTTATGTTGTTCACCTGCTCCTGGCAGCTGTCATGCTCGCGGCGCAGTCGATTCAGCTGGGGATCAACGACGTCGTGGTCGCCGGCGGCATGGAGAGCATGTCCAATGCCCCCAAATACGCTGCAACGGCAAGGTTTCTACTAGTTTTTCTCTTGATTATAGCTTTCGGTGGAGCAAAGGTCCTCTCTTGTGTAGCTTAATTGCTCACAGTGACCTCCTGTGGAGATGAATCGCAGGCGAGGGTCGCGGTTTGGGCATGATGTCCTCATCGACGGGATGCTCAAGGACGGGTTGTGGGATGTGTATAATGATTTCCATATGGGGATGTGCGCTGAGCTGTGTGCTGATCAGCACTCCATTACAAGGGAGGAGCAGGTTGCCAGCATTTCTGACCGATTCTTGTCATTTTCAGACTTTTTGTACAGCCAGAACAGCACATGCTAGTTATCTGAACGAACTTTGCTCTTTCATGTAGGATGCTTATGCCGTCCAGAGCAATGAGCATGGAATAGCAGCTCGAGACAGCGGCGCGTTTGATTGGGAAATTGTTCCGGTATGTGCATTATTTGAGGGCCCAACCAAAACTCTTCTTCTGTATGAAATATTGACGCTTAGGTACCAATTTCAAACAATTCTTGTTGACCAGGTTGAAATTCCTTCTGGTAGAGGCAGACCACCAGTTGTAGTTGACAAGGATGAGAGTCTTGCAAAGGTAGTCCCACAATCTAGTTAATCTATTGACCATCTTAAGGAAGGAATTTCTTTTATGTCATTTATGCATGTTTTGATTTTCTTGAAAACCGACATGGTTCAGTTTTTTATGTTGCAGATTCAATAGAATACAGAAATTAAGTTGTGGCAATAGTAACCATCAGCATACCCATTTTATTCTTCTCCTTCTGGTTTTGACACGTTTGCTCTGGTAATCTATGTGCACAGTACGATCCAGTGAAGCTGAAGAAACTTGGACCGGCTTTTAAGAAGAATGGCGCTGTAACTGCCGGCAATTCTTCTAGTATAAGGTTTGCTGTTCTCGTACTCTGACTAGTCGTTTACTATCTTTGTGGATAGCTTCTTAGATGGAAACCTTGCAGAGTAGTTAATGTGCAGCCACTGTCCAGTATGATATCACAATGTTGAATAGAGCATTTGAATGTAAGCTAGTTGATATTGAGGATTGAGCTCTGTGATCGAAGTGTCCCTGATGAATACTTCTAAACTGAACAGTTTCATTCAGAATTATGACACTTCTGAGAGTAGCATTGTATCTTCATTTTTACATGATCAGACTACCTTCTCTATGCAGTATGCAGCCAAACTATGTTGTATGTCTTCAGTACTAAATGTATCATCTTAAGAGTGTACTGAAGCTAGATTATTTCATAGCTCGAATTTTAGGCTTTCTTTGTGGTTAATATGAATTATGTAAAGCAATGTTTACTGAAGTTTAACTGTAGTGTCATTCTTATATTCCCATGTTCAGCGATGGTGCTGCTGCAATTGTGCTGGTCAGTGGGGAGAAAGCCAAGAACCTTGGCCTTCAAGTTCTTGCGAGGATCAGAGGGTACGCTGATGCTGCTCAGGTAGATCTTACATGCCTTGTCATTAATCATTGTTGGTGAGACAAATTTCATTTCATTTGAGAAATCTTGACCCATTGTTCTTGTTATCATGAAAGACCTGTACCGACATTATCCTTTCCCCTGTCTCAAAACTGTGAACCTTGCTGCTCTCATTCAATGATCCTTTCCTCTATGATTCGTGCTTATTTTTTTCTTTTATCTTGTTATCATGCATTATTAGAAAGAGTTTGTTGCATTGACACTACTTACAACTTCAGGCACCTGAGCTATTTACAACAACTCCAGCTCTTGCTATCCCAAAGGCTATATCAAATGCAGGTCTCCGAGATTCACAAATAGATTATTATGAGATAAATGAGGCTTTTTCGGTATGTTAATGGTCTTTTCATTTTTTTTAAGAGTAATAAGACCTGAAGCATGAGGGTGAGACTTAGCTATATTCTGGACATTGGCAGGTTGTTGCAGTGGCAAACCAGAGACTTCTTGGCATCTCTCCTGTAAGCTGCTAAACTTGAGTAAACTATCTTTTTTCAGAAAATATGTAACTGTAAACAATTTTATGAATATTAATGGACATTTCACCATTTCAGGGAAAACTGAATTTAAGTGGTGGCGCTGTTTCCCTGGGCCATCCTATTGGTTGCAGTGGTGCACGAATCATAGTCACCTTGCTCGGGGTATGTATGTTTCCATCCCATACTTTTATATTTCATCAAAATTGTTTATAATCCGCAAGGGTATTGACCCTTCCTTTGCCTTGGTAGAGTAGCTCTGGAATCTCTCTCCTCTTAAGCTAAAAAAATAGCTTTTATTTAAGTTGGATATCTTGATCTTGCTGCTGTCCCGTCCTTTGGTATAGTTGCATTCAATTTCATACTGCTGAACTTGCAGTGTTTTTGCTCCACCACAGATTCTTAGACAGAAACAGGGCAAGTTTGGGGTTGCCGGGGTGTGCAACGGCGGGGGTGGTGCTTCAGCCATCGTCGTAGAGTCCATGTAAGTTTCTCATGTGCTCCTCAGATTTCCTTCCATAAAGAAGTCTTGTGGTCTTTACCACGCTGACGATCTGGCCGAAGTGGAATAGTAATAATAATCAAGGGTGCATTACAAGATAACACAATTAACAAGTGGAATAGAGCTTTTCCCTGAGCGATTCTGACCAGATGATGATGCAGGCAATCTTCGTCGCGCCTACGTTCCTCGCTGTGATGTGAAGTTTACCATGAGCGTACTGGCAAGGGCTGCGGTGTAAAGGTTGTTGTATGCTGACTGTATCTTGTGTGAGCTGTAGTGGGGAGGGCAGGACTGATCCATGGTGTGTGTATCAAGTCGAACGAACATGATGCATCGCTCAGCAACTAGATGTAGTAAGATAAGATGATGTGCAGCAGAGGAGATGAAAATAATTGGGTTTGCAGCCCGAGCCCGTAAATGTTGTGAAGCAAATAACTGTGTAACTGGGAGTTCCTTACTGGAGCTTTGTACTGGTAGATCACATGGATGGCTTTTGGTTCCCATGGGATTATAACCAAGCGCTTTGTATAGTATAGTTGGTGTGGCCTGGCTAGGATGCATATTAGGATACTGTCGAAATCAACCTTTTTTGGCCCATTCATTCAGGTATAAAAGGTAGTATTGCTACCTATAAATGCAAACACTAGGGGGAAAGTGTAGATGATGAAGGATTAAGCCCAGACGTGCTACTTGAGCCACCGCCGAGTGATTCTTGGCTTCTTCTTCTTCTTCTTCTTCTTCTTGTTCTTGTTTTGAGTGATACACAATGGCTTGGCTCGTGTCTGATTAGCACTAGTAGTAGGTGGTGGGAGTCCGTAGTGGTGATGCGCATGGGCCACCGTCACACATGACAAGAGAAGAGAGACTAAATGCACCACAGCTGGTGTCTGTCATCGTGTATTCGTGTGTGTGTGTGTGTGGGTGTGTTGATCAATCAATCTCATCTCATCATGCGATGGTTAGGGGAGGTCAAATTTGGCTGCTCAACCCAATTCCCATTCCTCCCTCCATCTGTAAAGTGAAGGGCACCAGACAGATAGATAGATAGTTGGACAGGACCTCCCTTGCTTAAATTGTCCAAGAAAAGAAAAGAAAAGAAAAGACGTGTGCAAGGTTTCTACTTAGAATATAAATGTCCTTTTTTCTCTTTTCTTTTCTTTCTTGATGAGGATACTCCATGTCCTTTATTAATTACGGCTATCATCGCTCGGTCGACTTGGAAACAAAAACGCTTCTTTTTTTTTTTTCTCGCCCGGCACCACCACTATCTTCAATAACAGTTTTTGCATTTTACTACCGGTAACTTGGCAACACCTTAGTTATTTTCTCGATATCATTTTTCTAGACACTAGTCGTCGTCTACGTTCACTACAAATACGTGTGGTGTCTTATTCTTTAACATAAATATGAGCAAAACCCTTCTCTGAAAATATCTCGCCCAAAAGTAAAACACACATCCCTGATAAGAGAGAAAATAATTTTTTTTTAAAAAGGCTTTTTTGCATGTTCGCTCTCAGGAGCCAAACTGAAGTGGACATGACAGATATCATATTCCCTTCCCTTCACCACATGTTCTCCCATGTGCAACGCAACGCAACGCACAGCCTCCATCCGACCTCAGTGCTCATGCGCGCACCCTGTCTGCTGCCTCTGCATAACAATTCCATGTCCCTGTCTCTCAGCTCCACCTACACCAAGAACCCAAGCTCGTACAACACACATTTCATCCCCCCCAGCCCCAGGATTCCAAAGAGACGACGAGACAGGCAGAACCCATACGCTAGCCAGGCCAGCGAACCCGGCGACGAATTCCCCTCCAACAGGTCAGTAAGTTTCAGTCTGTCGAATCCACAGACCCCGACACGCAATATACCCACATTCTTCAGTCAGCCAGTCAGTCAGTCAGCCGAGCCGAGACGACAACCCGGAAAAAAGAACCAAGACGGACGATCCACCCAAAGAATTTGCATCAAATGAACCAAGGAGCAATAGTACCCCCGCCCTAGCTAATTACACCACTATGGCTGTGACTGCCTCGGCCCGCCAGAGGCGTCGACGTCTCCACCGCCCTGGCGGCTGCTGTTCCAGCTAGAAGACTGGGTGAAGTCGGTCGTGAAGTCCTGGCTGCCGAACGCCATCCGCTGGAACAGCCTGATCTCCGCCGTGTTGGGCGCGTTGAACATCTCGCTCATCCCCGGCTGCACCCCGTTGGTCAGGTCACCGTCCGCCAGGCTGTCGAGAGCCCGCACCACCTGATGAGAGCAGATGAGCCAGTGATAAAAACGTTTTAACCTCTGATCCAATCCAATCCAATGGGATGTAGTGTGGTTGCTGCTCTGAAAAGATGATGTGATGCATGTAATCTCATCGATATGCTCGTACCTGGCTCATCCGGGGTCTCCGGGGTGCCGAGTGTCGGATGCAGGCCGCCGCCGCCTCGATCATATGGAACAGCTCGACCTCGTTGAAGTTGTTGTCCAGCCTGGGGTCCAACAGCTCCCCTGCGTTGCCAGTCTCGAGCGCTTGCGTGAGCAGTGGCCTGGCCTGCAGATAACTCTGGTGTTAACTCAGGAAATGTTGCTGACCACAGAGGATCAATCAATCTTATAAACCAGGGTTAAAACAGGGTTGTGTCAGAAGCTGTTCTCAGTTGGCTGGTTCACAACTTCACATGATACACATATTATTACCTTTATATGAATAATCATGATAAATAGTAATTGGAACTGAAGATGTGATCGTCATCACATTGTCTATAAATATATTTGGTAATGTAGTAGATTTTTCGTATTAAGATTCAGTTACTAGTGAATGGATCAGGGCTATCATGTGGCTACTTTTCCATTGTTTCAACAGAGGTGGAATCCTCATTTATTTATCAAACCCCGCATTTAGTACTAAATAAAGCTTACCCACTCGACAAGGCTCTCATCGCCCAATGGATTTGATGCATCGACAGGCTTTCTACCAGTAATGAGCTCTAAGAGGACAACGCCAAAAGAGAAGACATCAGATTTCTCAGTCAGCTTGCCACTGGATGCATACTCTGGAGCCATGTACCTATAAAGAAAGGGAAAAAAACAATTATTATCAGGAAAAGAAAAGCAAATGTGAAGTATTCTTGTCTTGTGTACAAGTCAGTTTCTTCTTGTACTTACCCAAAAGTTCCCATCACCCGTGTAGTTACATGCGTGGCAAAATCCATGGCTAGTCTTGCAAGACCAAAATCAGCAACCTGGTGCAGGGACAGTACCCAATTCAGTAACAAGGATCATATTACAGCGGGTTTCCCTTCCCAAGTTAGCATTGTTACCTGTGCCTCGAAGTTGTTATCCAGCAGAATATTAGAGGATTTTATGTCTCGGTGGATAATTCGGGGATGACCTGCCAAAGGGAAGAAAAAATTCAGGTGTGATGAGAAGAAAGCAGCGCATCGAAAGCAAATGAATGAATGAGAATGGGCATTACAATCTTCATGAAGATATGCTATTCCTTTAGCCGATCCAGCAGAAATTTTAACCCTGGCTGGCCATTCCAGAACCGGCACGCCACGTCCTATATATATATGACACGGCAGAATCATGAAGATACAACAGCTGTTCAGTCGGGACTCAGAACATGTAAAGATCGATGCCGCACAGCATCAAAATGAAAGGTTAACTAACACCATACATACGATACATACCATGTAGATGATAGTGCAACGTGTCGTTGGGCACAAAATCGTAGACAAGCAAGCGCTGGTCGCCCGAGATGCAATACCCAACAAGAGAAACCAGGTGGCGGTGATGCACGCGGCTGATGATCTCCACCTCGGCCTGGAACTCGCGCTCCCCCTGCCCGCTGCCGTCTTTCAGTTTCTTAATGGCAACCTCTCTTCCTTCAGGCAAGCAACCCTTGTAAACAGACCCAAAGCCGCCTTCCCCCAGCAGGTTTTGATCAGAGAAACCGTTTGTGATGTTGTGCATCTCCTCGTAGGTGAAGAAGCGACAGTTGCCCATGCTGTACTCTGACATTGTGTCTTTGAACTCGGGGCTCCCGGCGCTGTAGTTGGCTTTGGTTTTCTCTGAATGTCCTCCTGAACAAGAAATGAGTGTCAGTTATCAGTTCACAGCACATGAATGCACTTACAGAGCTCATTGCACTTACCTAGTAGCACTTGTGGAGAAGCAGATGGTGAGGGTGAAGGCATCACAAACCCGGCATGGTAACCGGTCATTCTCCTCCGTTTCTTCTTGTACCAACACCCGGCGCCGAGCAAACTAAGCACGAGGATCACCACGACGACGCCGATCCCCGCCTTTGCGCCATCATTCAACCCACGGCTGCTCGGCGAGGGGCCGCTGTCCTGCCATGAGGGGTCCTGTGGCATGTTCGGACCGATTGGTGTTGGCGGGGTTGTTGTTGGGGCGCTAGGCACAGATGGAGGACCAAAACCTGGCGTCGACGGCGGTGAGGGGGCGGTGGGAGTAGCAGGGACGGTGGGAGAGGTTGGGGAGGGGCTGGTGGGAGGTTTGATGATGGGACTGACGGAGGGCGGCGGCGCCTGCGGCTCGGTTGGAGGAGGCGGCGACCCCGGGTGCCGCGGCGGTGGTGACCGCGCCACGGGCGGCGCGGTCGAGCGATCCGGCGGGCTTGGTGGTGGAGAAGTGGTCTTTGGCGGCGGGGGTGACGCGGCCGGCGCAGGGGGCCGCAAAGGCGACTGCTTGGGCGGGTCAGCGGCAGGCGCGGGCGGCGGCGGCACCGCAGTGGGCGGCGAGGGTGGCGGCAATGCGGCTGGCGGCGGAGATGCGACGGGGACCGGCGGCGGCGACGCGGTGGGGTCCGGGGGAGGCGACGGAGAAGGGGGCGGTGGGGATTCTGGCGTCTGCGGCGGCACGGCCGCGGAGGGCGCGGGAGGGGCCGCGGGCGGGTCGGCCGGGGTTTCATTGGGCAGCTTGACCGGGGCCGGGGAGGCGGGGGAGGAGGTGGCGGGCGCGACGGAGGCGGCCGGGGAGGCCTTGGTGGCCCCCGGCGAGGGGGAGGGCGAGGAGGCCATGATTGGAGCCTGGCCTAGCACAGCGGCAGCAGCGGGAGTGCCTTGTTGGTGTTGGACACGGAAGGTGGTTGTTCCATGCACCGAATCCGGCGGGGAGAAAGGAAAGGAAATCCGGCAGCGGATTCCGCGGAGTGATTCGCGCAGGAAGCAGGCAGAATTCTTTCCCCTCCTCCTCCTACTGCCGGCGGCGGCGGCCTCAAGAAACGGAGGAAATGGCAAGAAGAAACCCGAACCTGCCTGGATTCGCACCGAATTCCGGAGGAGGAGGAAGAAGAAGGAAGACCCAAGGAGAAATCGCCTCCTCTAGAAACAGCTGGAACAGATGGGAGAGTGGATGCGGACGCGGTGGCTCACTCAGATCAGATCAGATCCAGCAGTAGAGCGGTGGTGGCATTGAAGGCGGGGATGCAGCGGGGAAGGTAACCGCGGACGGGAAGAGAAACAAGCATGAGACGAGACGAGACGGGCACTGGCAAAGCAGAGGAGAAACAATGAATTCTTTCCTAAACCAAAAATGAATTCCCCTCTCAGTCTCACCTACCCGTGATCTTGCTGCCACCCACTGATGACTCCCTCCCTCCCTCCGTTGGACTGAATTCCACTCTAGTGAGCAGAGACAGAGAGGAAAAAGGAAGACCGGCTTTGCTAAGACTTTTATCACTTTCCATTCTCTAATCTCATTTTTTTAACACTTCCCTCATGTGTTCATGGATGGAGTGGGCGCCTTTTCCCTTCTTCTTTTTTCTCTCTCTCTTGCCACGCGGTTTCTCTTTTACTTTTACTTTCTTGATGATGATTGAGCACCGTGCCTTGTTTAGCCTAGCCCTAGAGTTAATAGCATGCCCATTCCGGCTCTTTTTCTTTTCTTTTTCTTTTTCTTTAGCCTAGAGTTAAACCACATACCACAAAAAGCCGCCAGCCTTTTTCTTTTTCTTTTCTTTTCTTTTCTTAATTAACTATTACTCCCTCCGTTCCTAAATATATACTGCGTCCTTGATTCCCGTGCTTCAGCTCTGATCATAAATTTAACCAACGAGCCCGATTGCGATGGGAGCAAAAGTTATACTACCAATGAATTCGTATTCAAAACAAGTTTTTCAATTAAAATTTTTCCTCCTGCCGCAGCCGGTCTCGTCTCATCGGTTAATTTTATGCTCAAAGTTGAACCTCGAGAAAACGCGAGCGCGCTACATTTTGAAACGGAGGGAGTGGAGCAATGCGCGTGGGTTGCGACCGCCCCGTTATTTACCTGTCCAAACTAATGTGATCCTGCGAATAAATGCTTACCAAACATAATACAGCAGACAAGTTCAAACTACATCTAAAAACTTGAAATTAAGACAGATGTTCACCACTTCCTCGCCGTCCCTTTGCCCTTCCCGTCACCGGCGCAGCTGTACGAGTCTGCGGCAGGAGGTGGGTCCATGTCGGACCCGTCGTTGGAGGTGGAATCAGAGATGACGATGTAGCCTTGCAAGTGCCGGACGACGTGGTCTTGCTTGCGCTTGAGCTTGGCCACCCTTGCTGCCTCTACCGCTGCCTCCGCCGCCTCCCGCTCGGATTGCTCAATGTCGAGGCGGAGCTGCTTGGTGTTGATCCTCCGGAGCCGTCGGGCCTTCATCTCCACCTCAGTCAGTGACCGGCGGCACACCCACTCAAGGAGACAGTCGTCCTTGTCGGGCACCCGGTGGTGGCGGGCGGACTGCACAGACGCGTCGGACCCACCCGCCATCTCCCTTGCCCTCTGCCTCTCACGGCGAGCGGCAGTTGCCTCCGACTCCAGACTACACATCCGCGGTTGTGGCAGAGCAGGCACTAGAACCCAGTGCTGCCCGCGCGGAGCAGCGGGCCAGAGGTGGAGGAGGTCGTCGGGCGAGAGGAGCAGCTTGTGCAGGCCTCTCAAAGCCGCGCTTGGGGTGGGAAGGCCGGTGCCAATGTCGGCGCTGCGGCGACGGGCGACAGATGGCATCGCATCGGACCCAGAGGTGCCGCCCGTATCGACCCGCGAGTGCTCGAGCGCGATACGGAGCGCCAGCTCCTCCTCGTCTCTGGAGCTGCCGGCGGAGTTGCTGCCGGTGCTGGACATGCTCGCCGACGCTAGGGATTTGGCGGATTGAGGAAATTGAAGCATTGGGAAAGGGAGGGGAGCGGAGCGGAGTGAGCTAGGGTTTCTGCCAGATAGGAGTTTTTGTGGGGTCGGGGTGGGTCAGCGGTAGGCGGGTTGACGTGGCAGACGTGCCTGGGCGTGCCTAGGTCGCCTCATATTCGTCCTACATTTACGACAGATATAAGGGGTGTCGGTCAGTCCGGGTGTTTGAGGCCCGTCTGAGAGCTTCTGTTGGGTCGGATTTTGTAACCGATCAATGATCGGACGGCCTGGCCAGAAGTATGAGACGGATATAGGGTGCCCGGCCATGGACACTCTTATCTAGTTATCCTAGCTACCGCGCTGTACATTTTTCGCTATCCGAAAAGCAGAAATCTTTTATTCGGGTGAGATTGTTTATTTGATGAACAGTTGCTGGCTTTGGAATTTAGCTCTGCAACGCAGATGCGTGCACATGGCCTCGACATGGGTGTCGACTCTGCAATGGAATGCCCCATTAGGCTTTGAAATATTTGACCGGCAATATTTTTCATTTCATTTTTGTATATATGAAACTTAAGTCAGATTCGGCAGCTCGAGGAGGACGCCCGCGTGTAAATACTAAATGTTGACAGTGAGCGTGAGAAATTCTATGTTTTGCCAAGGTGATAAGAAAATTCTTATCTCACAACGAAAGTGAAATAACTGTTAGGGATTAATTTACTCCTAATAATCTTGCTCACGATCGATGGTTGCCAGTTTCAGCAATCGACATTAGTTCGGCTCAATTATCAACTGTTTGTTGTTTGTGGTGCAATCTTACCGTCTTTGTAATTATCGCATTTGTACAGAGGGTGTAATTATTTTATGAATCAGATGTATATATAGGCATGTTTTTTTAATGTATTTATTCACTCATTTCAGTTTATATGTAATCCATATAGAAATATCTAAAATATCTTATATTTGTGAACGTAGGATGTGCTTTAGACTCGACATGTGCAATTGATTGGAAACCCAAGCATCACCCGGGATTTTGATTTAGAATAATTGTGACGTGGTGAACCAACCTGTGGTTGGATGATTAGGTGGACAGTGGTATCCCCAGCCCATCAGGGTTCAAGTCCTGATGCTTGTATTTATCCTGGATTTATTTTAGGATTTTCGGTGATGTGCGTTCAGTGGGAGGAGATGTTCTCGTCGACTACGAGACGCCTTTGATGACTTCATCAATCTCAAGATGATATGCCGAGCGAATCTATCGGAGGTGCTGATAGGGACAGGGTGTGCGTGTGTGTTTATAGAGATGAGTGTATACATATATATGAGCGTCTACGTCTGTACTGTGTTAAAAGAAATTGTGACGTGGCGTTCTAGTCAGACGTCACATGGGCATTACAATTGAAAGTCTGGCTAGACAAGGTAAATGTGAAATATTGCACAACCAGGCGGTAACATGAGAACTCGTAAAAAAGTGGTAAAATGAGGAATTCTTTTACTTGGCAAGATCTTGATAAGATTTACCGCAGCCATATAGTACTGTTTCTCAAAGTCCTGGTGGTCATATGGTCAGTGTTGTTATTGGTGTGCCTCATAAATCCAGCTCCATTTTTTGGTACTCCCTCCGGTCCTTTTTACTCTGCATATTAGGTTTGTCTGAAGTCAATTTCATCCAACTTTGACCAAGTTTATATAAAAAATTATTGACATTTACATAACAACACCAATATCATTAGATTCATCTCGGAATATATTTTCATATTATATTTATTAGATATTATAAATGCTAATAATTTCTAATATAAATTTAGTCAAACTTAGCTAAGTTTGACTTTCGGCAAATCCAATGTGCAGAGTAAAAAGGACCGGAGGGAGTACCACTAGGCACCGGAGGACAATGGACCTCATGCAAAATAATTACCATGCAGCTCCGCTTTGGAACGTAGTAGCAAGGAGTGGACCGTTGGGAAATTGTGCGTTGGATTCAAATGCTTAATCTGTCGGTTGGTGTTGAACAGTTGAAAGCTGAACATCCAAGTAAACTTACATCATGAAGCATTAAAATTTAGGTCAAGGTTTCTTAAAGTTGACTCAGAGGTGACCCAATTCTCTCGTCGTAAATTACGCGTGGTAGACTGAATAAATAACACTAGACTAGCTCGTCGCCATAACTAATCAACGTTGATTCGATTGAACGCCTTTGACTCCAGCTACTTAAATTAACAGTGGTGACAGGACTAGTTAGGCTGGTCATAGTGGGGAGTAACTTATACTACTGTCATGCATATGACACTAGCCTAAGTTACTACTACCTCCGTCTCGGTGAATAAGTCATTCGCGCAGTTCTATGTCGACGATTTAACTATTTAAATATGTATTATATGTGACAAAAAATATATATTTAGAAACTACATCTGTGTAGAAATCTTGTGATATACTTTTCATGACATATAACACATATTTAATTCCTCAAATCGATGGCCTAGAACTACGCGAATGACTTATTCACCTAGACTGAGGTAGTACCTTCATAGTGCAAAATAACATAGTAGTAGTGTCATAGATGACTTCATTAATTAGCTTGTAGACTCATCTTGTCTTGAAAAGCGCTATGTTACAGTAACATATTATGTTACCACTTCTCATTAACTACATGCCACATAAGCAAAAAAATCTCGGAATGCGCTATATTACTTGCTAAGTTAGTCCCATTATGACTAGCCTTATAAGCACGCAGGGATACTCCCATTCGATACGAAATTCTAGGTGGGGCATCTCCAACAATTTCCTCCCGTATCCATCCATGAACAAGAAGGACCAGTGCGTGCACGCGAATGCAGGAGGCGATCATTCAACTATAGCCGCATACATTTTAACAACACTTTGAATCAATCGCACGAAAATCGTTCAAACA